TGACATCCATCAATCTCCGAAAGTCACATCTTATAAAAAATAGAGTATGTGCAATTAATAGATAATGGTACCTCATATTGCGTTGAGATCGCTTCAAATGTTGCACTCAATATTGATCTTAGAAATTTACTATGCTTTCTATATCATGTAAGACTGTTAGTTTCTGAAAGATAAATGCACTTTTATACAAAGTTCAAATTCAACATCACTGTTTTATTGAAATATTTTTATATGATTATTGCTTTGTTTTTATTCAAAAGAAATAAAGCAGATGTCGAACAACAGTAATTGACATTGATAAAATAAATGCATGTCTTTTTTCCAAGTATTTTCTTATATATTTGCGATTGACAATGTGTTACTAAAATAATATGAAGGAAACATGGGTGAAGAAGTAGAGGAAACTACCAACCGCCTTAAGTTATTTAATTAACCTCACTTTACACGCCCGAGATTATTGTTTCTTTACTTCTTTTTATTATAACTAATCTAAGCATAAGGAAAACAGATTTTCTGTTGTTATTTTGTGTTTGTTGTTACTATTATTATTATTATTATTACTATTATTAACTAAAATTTAGTTTTGTTGTTTATTATTTTCTGGAACAATAAGTAATAATTTTTGCAAATATATGCTAATTGATCGACTAAATTTGTCAATTGATGGTGATCGTTTAAGAACAAATACCCAATAGACAGGTAAACCAGAAAGAAGAATAAATAGACCAACTATAATATCTAATGTATTATAAATTATATTAGCAAGTGTTAGAACACTCATTGCAGTAATGAATACAATTGGAGCAATAAGACCAGCATGAAACGGACGAGGAGTATCAGGCATTGTACGGCGAAAGATAAGTAAACTTATTGCACTAAATAAACAAACAAGCCACGTACTGAAACTTAAATAACCAAGAAGACGTTCTGCACTGCCAACAAGTACAAATAAAATACCTGGATTAAAAGACAAATATATTAAAAATTAAAATAATTGTGTTATGAACATAAACTAGATATTTACTAAGTGTTCCTTCAATAATGCATGGAACGACAGGTGTCAAACGTTTTATATGAACAAAAGCAGATATTGATGGTAAAAGACCGTCACGTCCAGCAACAGAAAACATTCGAACAATTGAGAAAATTTCTAGAATAAATGTAAAGAAACTCTAAAAACTAATTATTTTTAACATTTTCATACGTCCATTAAGGCCACCTAGTGCTGAAATTGATACACACAAAGGAACAATAAATCCAAGTGGTCGATAAACATTTTGTGCAAATGTTACAGCAACAGCATCGGATGTCATTACATCATGTGGTGTTAATGCTGTGAAATAGGCACTATAGGCAAGTGCATAAAGTATTGTACTTGCAATAATTGAAGTTAAAATTGCAATTGGAAAATTTTTTTCTGGTTTTTTTAATTCTTCAACTGCATTTGATAAATAATTCCAACCCGTATAAGGAAATAATCCAATATACATTGCAATAGAAAATTTTTTAATACTTGTTTCAGTATTTTCAAATGGTGCTGTAAATACATCATAATGTCCTCGTATTAATTGATATATTCCAAGACTAATAAGAAGAAGTAATGATAAAATTTTCGCATAGAATGCTATGTTTTGCCACATAATTGAACCACGTGTAGATAATAAATTCAGAAGTGTTAATACCATAATAAAGAAACAAGCAAGAAGAATTACAGCCATATGTGGTGGTTGACATGGACTAAATATTGGTTGAAGTATATAGATTGATGCTGTTATACCACATACAGCAATTGTCGCTGGACGTACACAACATATTTCACTCCATACTCGTAAAAATCCTACAATAATTCAAAATATATATTGAATAAATAAATAAAGAGAAAAAAAAGGTTTTTAATTTACCAGCCCAGTTACCAAAAGCCATTTTAATATATGTATAATCTCCACCAGAACTATAAATCATTGTGCTTAGTTCAGCATAACATAAACAACCTGGAAGACAAATTAATCCACAAAGAATCCATACAAGAACTGATAAACCATAGGAACCTAAAAAAGAAATAATAGTTATAATTAAATTAGAGAAATTAGACTTTACCAGTGCCAAGAAGAACACCACGTGGTGAAATAAAAATTCCTGATCCAATTATTGATCCAACTAATAATGCGATACCACTCATCAAACCTAATTTAGGTTTTTCTGAAGCCGATTTTGCATCTTTATCTACTCCGGTATCTTTATTTTCACTCATTTTATTAAAAACACAATTCTAACCAACGTATATAATATAAAATCTACAGTCGAACTAAAAAAGTAAAATAATTTTGTATCTTCTTCATATTCTCTCAAAGAGCTTTCACATTCTTTCTTTGAGCTTCATGTGGACAATTCGTTACGGCCTACTTGTTACTCAACAAAAAATAAAACGCTCTATCGAATGTTCGGATCAGTAAGTGTATCAACGAATCATTCATGCGGTGACATCACCATTTGTATGTATCAAGACCCTATGATTTGTATACCATTGATTTTTATGTAGTCACTTCCTTTAAAATGACATATTTTTTTCATCGATAACATGATTCAATGTAAACTAAAATATTGTAAAATAATAAAAGCAAATTTAAATTCAATCTATGACATTAATGAATATGTTGATGACTTCTATACATATTTTAACAGTAATATTAGTGTAAAAATTTTATTATTCGATTGAATTAAATTGATTTTTATAAAATTTGTCACAATCTGTTTCAATTCGGTTTATTTTTGTTTAAAGCGCGTATATAGTTCGAGATTAACAAAAAAAGGTAGCGCTAATTTTGAAGGCATAATATCAAAAAGAAAAGAAAGGAGGCAAGACAATGATATATTGTAATCTATATACACATATTTGTTGGTTATGAATGAATCTATACAACAAAGATAACATGCTCACAAAAAAAAAAGAATATTTTTGTCGTTTACAAACAAACATGCAAGACAATGATTATATCAATAAGAACAACACAATAGAAAAGAACAAATCACTGTTGGTTTGATTAATTTTTTTTGGCAAAAAAAAAAGGAAAAAAAAAGTTGATCGGATTGGCATTTGTAAAAATGAATCTGACAATCATGATCTGGAAGTATATAGAATAGAGAACACAGCAAAAGATTAAATGACATGAAACGCTTTAGATATATATATGACTAGAATCATATTTTCTTTCTCATTCACATAGTGGCTCGACATAATTTCCCTAAAAAAACAAAATAAATCATTTTGAAAAACACTAATATAACTTCACAATTGTATAACTTACTGGAAATAAACCACGAATACCAGGTTCTATAACACCTTCAAACCAACCATCATCATTTTTAGCCACAACAAAAATGATTGTATCTTCTCGAAATGTTAATTCATCATCACGAGTACTTTCATAATCGTAACAAGCAATGGCCTAATAAGAAATTAAAAAAAAGGAAATAAAAATTCTAATAAATATTTATAATTAGATAATAAACCATTTCAAGATATTGTTCAGGTGCCCAATCAAGATTTTCAAAACGTCTTCGAAATCCTCGCGTGCTTTTTCTTGGTAATGTTGTTGTTGCTTCAAAAAAATGATTTGGTGCTGCAGGAATAAATTGTGGAAGATAAGATTGTTGAGCCATATATTGTGGTTCAGCACCATTTTGTTGTTGAGTAGCTGGATCATAATTATCCATATGTAATGGAGCACGTGCTGATCCTGGTGGTTGACTTGTTGCTCTTGATCGTACTGAACCACCATTTTCAACCATTGCCCCTGTATATCGATTCATATTATTTGTATTTAAAATTCCATTATGTCGTGTTGCATAAACATTTTCATTATTCATCATCATTAACATTTGATTGTAGGATGCTTGTTGACGATTTCCATATTGATTATATTGATGACCATTATTCATAATAAGATCATGTCGACTAGCATAATCTGTTGGTGGAACAACAACAGGTGGTGCTGGTTGAATAGATGATCGTTGAGCATATATTAAAGATGAACTAGCACCAGTTGCTTTTGATAAGCTAGCATTTGCATTTTTTATTGATGGAGGTGTTGATGGTTGTTGTTGTTGTTGCTGTTGCTGTTGAAGACCATTACTATAAATCATATGACGAGATTTATTTTCTTGTGGTGATAAACGAACACCATGACCTAAATTAGACAATTATTAATCGAACAAAAATGATCCTATTTATTTGTTTTATTCTTACCAATATCATCAAGAACAGAATAATCTAATGGTTTACGAACATATCGAACCAGTTTTTCTGGATTGCTTGGTTTAATAAATAATGGTTGTCGACCTAAGGTTTTATTTGTTGTTAATGTACCAATTTCTCTTCGTGCAACTTTTTCTTTATGTACATTGGTATCTTCACTTAAATCACTTAAATTCGTTTCTAATTCATTAAATTGATTGGATTGTAAATCTAATAATTGTAAAAATGATGTTGCTATTGTATTTATTTGATAAGCAACACTAGCTAACTGAAAAACAAAATATACACGTAATTTTATATGAAGAAAAATATCTTACTGCTTGAATAGCATAATTTTTTGTATCTTCATAAACACGTGATTTATCATGATTAGATGAATTTAAATAATTATCTTCACAAAAATCTGCTACTTTAGCTAGATTTGAGATATTTTCAGCAAGATTTCCTTTCAATGATGGTAGTTCATTTTTAAGAATAAATGCTAGATCTTGAAATGGTGATGGTTCCATGAATAATTTTCTATTTTATTAATGGAAACTATCTGATTTTTTTTATATAAACATAATGTGTTTATCTAGTAAAGAACAAAAAAAAGCAAAATGTCACAATTATTCAAAAATGGCAAAAAAGAAACAGAAGAGAATAAATGGATGATTCATGCAAATAGTTTATTCCTTTGTACTTATAAGAAAGAATGCATATTATATTATAAAAATGTACATCGAGCGGATTAGTGAACATATGTACATAAAAACGCCATTACACTAGAAATATATTGAGCCTCTGCAATACATACAACAGAGGGCGTTCAATACTAACGAATACATATATCCATTTTATCCTCTTGCGTTTGAACAAACTGATCGTCTCGTGTATTTTTCTTGAAATAAAATAATTGAATAGTAGACATAATTTCTATTGAAAAATATAACAAGTTACAGATATTTATCTCATTATGTTTTTATCTCCTGTAATATTATATTCATTAGATATTTTCTCTCACCACATATAGCAGAAAGTGATAATAGTTGGTGTTAGTAAATTCTTTTTCTTTTGTTTTGAGTGTATTTTTTTACATTCACCTGTCTTCGACAATCGGTACAATACATTACATGGTATTCGCATGTTGCTTTCAAGTGAAAAGAAGAAACAAAAAACAGCTTAAATATTTTTGTCTGTTCCCTAGATTTCGCTACAGAAGTGGAAGAATCTGAGTGTTATTACTTAAAATAGTATTTCACTGTTGATCTGTAGAAGCTATGGTTTATGTATTAATATATCTAGTCCTAATCTTTGATTTTTTAACAGCAATATGTTTGACAGCCAAACGCAAATATTACTTTAGGATTTTTTATTTGTTAAAGCAAACAAAAAAAGTTATTTTCATGGATTCTTGTGATGATTGCCTATTGTAAATACTTTGCCATTTCTTTATTTTGTCTTTTTTCTCGATGCATGTCTTTGTTGATTTTTTCTGTGTTTCAGAGCAACATCTAGAACAATCAAAGAAACAGGTGTTGTTCTGCGATGAAATAAACAGAAAAAGTATTTCGCAAAGGAATTAAATGCACTAAAATAAGCGACGTTAGTTATATTTTCGTTGATAATTTTTTCAAGCAACTTCAGTACTAAACATTCATATAAAACTCAATAGTCAATGGCAGTCAGCATATTGAGTGCTACGAAAAGTATCGAGTCAACATATGATTTTTCCAGAGATACACCAATGCGTAAGCCTATCGCTATGGAGAGACTACAACATTTGTTAGTCATTTGGTTAGACAATAATATTAACAACAATGACAAAGATTGCCAGTATACAATCACTAAATTACGGCGTACGGTGATTAATTTTAAAACATTCACGAATAGTGAACAATGCATCGAATTTATCAACACTGTAAATGATAACAAGATATGTATTATTGTTTCAGGTTCACTCGGTCAACATATTGTGCCCAGTGTACATAATATGTCTCAAGTAGACACAATTTTTATCTTTTGTGATAACAAAAAGCTTCACGAACAATGGACTAAAGAATGGTTTAAAATTCGAGGTGTCTTTACAAATATAACATTGATCTGTGATGCATTGAAACAGACAGCTCACCAATGTGAGCAAAATGCAATTTCAATCAGTTTTATAGAACCTAATAAGAAATTGGATCAATTAGATCCATCGTTTATGTATACACAAATTCTAAAAGAAATATTATTAACAATTACATTTGAAGAAAAACATAGAAAAGAATTTATCGATTATTGTCGTGACCTGTTTGCTAATAATACAGATGAATTCGCAAACATTAAAAAATTCGAAGAGACATACCGTAACAAAACACCAATATACTGGTATACATGTGAAAGTTTCCTGTACCCAATGCTCAATTGTGCACTAAGATTAATGGATGTAGATATTATTGTTCGAATGGGTTTCTTTATTAGAGATCTTCATCATGATATTCAACGATTACATACGGAACAATTTGGTAATCAATATTCAGGTGAACCATTCACAGTCTATCGTGGGCAAGGTCTATCAGAAGGGGATTTTGAACAACTGAAAAAAACTAAACGTGGACTCATATCACTTAATAGTTTCTTATCAACTAGTAAAAATCGTGCAATTTCTCTTGGTTATGCACAAGATGCTGTAATGAAACATAATCTAATCGGAATTCTATTCATCATGTCAATTAATCCTGCACATTCAACAACTCCATTTGCTTCTATTACTGAGTTTAGTTGTTTTACTATAGAAGATGAAGTCTTGTTCTCGATGCATACTACCTTTCGTATTGGAGATATTAAACCAATACGTGGACACAAAAATCTCCACGAGGTACATTTAACACTTACTAGTGACAATGACAATGATCTCCGTATGCTTACTAATTGGATTCGAGAAGAGATCTATTCAGATTCGGAAGGATGGGAACGATTGGCTCAATTACTAATTAAAATGGGTAAATCTGATAAAGCTCAAGAAGTTTATG